AATAATACATTTTGACCAAAAAAAACCCCAAAGATATAAAACTACATTGTTTCTGTCAACTGGCTAAACTTCAGTCCATGCAATCCTGGTAGCAACATGTACTTTCAACTAGTTTTCTTGATTGTGTCCACAACAAACACTACACATGCCCGGTCACAGGAAGCGTGACTGCTTCATGGCTCCATTACTCGACTGTTGCCAGGCTAACTTCACCACAGCTGCCTGTAATGTGTGTTGGACTTCTAAGTTAGCAGCATAGAGAAGAATTACATTAGTTGTTTCAAGTTTGCGTTTTGTTCTTTTCCAGGAATTAGATGAACTACACACATTGTATACTAAAATGTTACCAGTATGAAATCCTGAGAATGTCACTGATTCTCATTCTGATACTGATGTTTTTCCCATAAATTCTGTGTGCTTCAAATCACAAGTTAAGTACAGCCAGGCCTTTATTTGTGAATGCATGGACAACTGAGTGTGGAATATTGAAATAAATGTTAACGACAGTGGTGGGGGTTTCCAGATCCATTGTGTGAGGCTCAACTTTGGTCACAGAGGCACTGTGGGGGCATCCATGTGACCGCAGAGCACAGTCACTGCAAAGCACATGTGGATCTTGTAAGCAGGCTCAGAAATAGTATAACAACTACTCCTTCATGGTGTGCCTGTCTACAAGAAAGTACTAAGCAAAATTACTTATGAGAAAAAAAATATTTACATCCTTATGGTAATCTGTATAAAGATAATCAATGCAGGAAAATAGTCCCAATCACTGATAGACTGTATCATTATTAATACTGATACATGAGTAAATCTTTCACCATTGTAGCTATATTTGCGCTGGACTGCACTAACTGCTCATCATCAATCCAAAGTAACTGTAGTGGCACTGAAGTACAAAATGGCAATAAAGTAAATATTCACATGAACGACAAGGAGTTTAAAGTACTTAAGTCAAAAGCCTACTGCCCCCAATCTCAACGTATATCAGGAATGCAAAAATGAACCTGATAGAGAGTGAAAGACATAAAATATAAACCTCACTTTGACGTAAAATCCAGGTTAAAAGCTGCAGTAATAAGATCTGAATCTGGTACCACTGCTACTTTTATACAACAGGAATGCCTTTGAGCAGCTGTATGTGTGTACATCTCATAACCCCTGGGTCACACCTGTTACCTTGCTAAACCTTTGTCCCAGAGCAAGCTCAGGGGTCAAGGATCAAAGGTCATGGTGTCACATGACACATCCTTGACAGATTTGTTTCGGTCCAGTCATACTTATACCTTCTACCATCTGAGAAATTACCTTTTTTTAGGTTGCTGAATTTTCTGCAAAGCAAACACCTTCATAATAACACCAATTATCAGCATTATTTCTTGTAAACTGAAACAAAAACAAACACAGGTTCTAATGAAATGACAGACTAAGGGTGTGAGAATAACTTTCAATTCATGACGGGTTTTCTGCAGTTAAGCAAGGATGATGCATACTGCAAATCTCTAACACTGACTTAACCATGCAGTCCCACATAACACACTTCAATAACCTCCAAACAGCAGCACTAAAAGATCAAGTTGCCAGAAAATACTTGAGCTCAATTAAGTCCCACCCACACCGGAGGAAAACGACTTTGTATTGCATAAATGTGCCTCCGTGTCAATTCTGGCTGATAAATGCCTAAAAGCTGCAGCAGAGTGGGATGCACTAACAAAATCGTACAGAACCTCGAGGTAGACAGAGGCAGAAAGAAATGAGAGATCAGCAGGAAGAATAAGAAAGCTGTGGGACTGTAAGCAAGTTATTTTCTTACTGCTCAGACATCTAAATTTTGTGCACACAGCTAATTGAGTTTAAAAATTCCAATCCTAAACCCATATGCTCCAACTGGACACAACATGGGCACTCCCATATTGATTTGCTGTTCGACTTTGTGTTTTCACTTAAATATGAAAAACCTCATTACGGTATAGGTAATATTGCAATTATGCAGCAGTGTATCTCAGGACGTGCTATGAAGTAACACCAGAGTAATGTAGCACCTGTGTAAGTAACAAGTAATGTGTAATAAACTGACTTTTTTCGAATAATATCCAACATTAGGCACCAGGCACTGACATCAATAAAGCTTCATCATTATAGCGACCTCGTCATGAGACTCAGATTAATCCATAACATATTTTACTTTAATGTGTTCAGCGCTGTCACGCTGCTCTGTACCAGAGTAAGGATGTTTAAACACAAAGCTCATTAGCTCAAACTACAGTAATTTATGGAGAGCGAAATCCTGTTTGTATGTTTTCAATTTCATAAAACATTCAAAAAACAACACTGTAAACTTCCTATCCAGAGGGATAATATTACTGACCCCGTGAAATGAACAATCAGGCAGCACATACAGTGTGTGAATGTGTGCGTGAATGGGTGGATGACTGGATATGTAAAGTGCTTTGGGGTCCTTAGGGACTAGTAAAGCGCTATATAAATACAGGCCATTTACCATTTACATAATCTACTGATGAAGATTCTTCAGCCATTCTGAGTCATATTCTTGGTTACACCTGACTAAAGTTTGCACTGTTAAGTTTTCATACAACAACTTTTTTTTTGGAAATCCACAGGCTGTTTTATTTATTGAGAAAAAAACTGTACCAGGATCCACTTTTTTTTAAAAAAACCCAAACAAATAGTATTTGACAAACAAATAGGAATGACGCCCAGTTCAGGCAAAACTCTGGGTCACTGAACTAACCAGCTAACAAAGACAACTTTCATTCCAGTTCACAACACAAAAAGATTCTGAGACATGTCTCCGAGCCAACGCATCATCCAAGGCATTTACAAAAAGGAGCCCAGTGTAACGTAAAAGGTCATTTAGATCCCATTTATATCATTTACAGTTTGGTAGCATAGATCAGCACCACACCTGACAATCTGTGATGGGCAAACAGCAAGGTCAAAGGCAAAAAAAAAAAAAAAAAGAAGAAAGAAAATGCTATTATATCTTGCTCCAATCACCACAGCATATAGCCCTACTGCCAGACTGCACCTCCATCAGTCAAACAGCGAATCATAAAACCTCTTGCAGCTCTGTCAACCAGAGAAAACACTATCTTCTTGTTGCTCACCACAAAGAATGTCAGGTATGTTTGCAACTCTGAGATACTGCAAACAATCCAACAATTTTTGTGTTCGCACACTTCAGGACGGGGGATAAGCATCCACAGGGCACTTATCAGAAGGGAAATCTGAGATCGGCAACTTGGCCTCCCTCTCGTCTGCCTCCACCGGGTGAGGTAACAATCCCAGATGCCCACCTTTGTTGACATTGTAATCAAAACAAAAGAAAGGAGCAAGCAAAAACAAGGACCGACAACCTCAATCCCACATGAACGCACAAAGCAGAGCTCGTTTATCAAGAGCTCAGCGTCCGCTTCTGTCAACTTTTGCTGGCAGTGACTCGTAACACTGAAACAGAAGAAAGTTTTACTTTTACAATCAGCGATAAAAAAAAATCAAAACAAAAACACCAGACCAATTAATACTTAATTAGACCAAAGTAAAGGGTATTTTAAGAAATCTGGCAATTCTTGTTTTTCCTCCTCTTTAAAAGTAACGCAGAATCCATGACGATCTTCAAAAACAACGGGACAGACAGTTGACTACAGATAACACGCCTGGCTCGACAGATGGAAGGCAAAAGTATCACTTTTTTTAAAAAAGGGTGCTCGAGCTCAGTTTTTAGGTAGCAATTTAAGGAAGGTTTTCACAACACTAGTGGTGAATTCTGTATTATATTTAAAGCTGTAGATTATAATTTCAGCCTTGTGATTAGGCCATATTAAAGAAACAAAACAGAAAAAAACAAGCTGACACAACAAACAGATGCATTTGAAAAGCAGTCCCAGTGAAATGCAGGACAACAGCATCTATTTTGCAACACAGGTCCCACTGTTGGGTTTGATTTAAATGACTAGTTGAGTGGGATACAGGAGGATCGGATTCTCTTTTCTTTCTTTTGTTTTTGTTTTTTTGGTAAGATGATCATGTGATCATGAAGCCCAGTGTTAACAATCAGTTGAATCTCTGAGTGGGAAGAATGACACACAAACTGGTGAACCGACACCTGTTTATCAGTATTGCAAGGAGGACTCTAGCAACCCACTCACTCCAAACAACCAGGAGGTGATCTTTAAATACATGCAGTTTATGCATTAAAACAGTACAATCTATAGGGGCACTACATGCATGTGACAGAAAGTTGATTTCTTTTTTTAGTTTTGTTGCATATAATCTGCACATAAATGCACGAGTGTTCGGCGGGGAGGAAAGTAACAGTGCTGAGAATAGCGAAACATCCTCTTTCCACTGTGTTTGTTATCCCCATTCAGGGTGGTGACTTCTCTCTCTCTTTCTCCCTCGCTCTCTCTCACACGCACACACACGATCCCATCTCCCACTCCCCACTAAAAGACCCTTGGTGTTCCCTGGACCCCTGTTTGGTCAGCAGTTTAAAGTTAAGCTCTGCCTATCCTGTTCTGTAAACACGGCCAAGCTGTGTTTTGGGGATGGGCTCAATTCCACACCAGGTGTACGCAAAACCACACACGAGTGGCATCTTTTTGTTTGTGCGTTTGTTCTTAAACAAACTGATCTGTAGCCCTCCACTTCAGCCTTCACTCACTCAACTTATGACAGCAGCAGCAGCTATGTTACAAAGTCAGCACGCAGTCACTGATTAGCTCTCAGTTCGCTGAAGCCGAGCACGGCTAGCAAACTTCTCCGCTGGCTTCTCCTCACATCTCTATCCTGCACAAATCTGACATTACAACACGGAACCGCTAGTTTTTGGGGGGTTTTCCCTCCTCAAAGACACGACATACCTTCGCTGACAACCTGGAACTTGGGCAGCCGCAAGAAACTAGCGAGACTTGTGGCTGAGACACTTTCAATTTTGCGAAGGGGGGCGAAAAATGAACCCATAGCTAACTTTTCCATACCTTTTTTGAACGGCGAAGAGCTCCTCGTCGATACTATCACTTCTTGGCAGCCATGAACCCCGCTTCTGACAGCGTCGCCCTCGGCAGGAATAACGACAAAATCTGCCTGTGTTGTGCGACTGTGTGAGTGTGTGCCGCTCAACTCTTGCCAGTGCCCGTGATTTCTCCCACACCGCTCCTCTCTGCGTGGCTCCAGCAACAGCCGCTGCAGTTTTTTCCACCAGCCTGGCGCGGGAGCGAGCGCCCGGGATACTGGGCTGGCCTGAGAAGCGCGTGAACGCGCAGTTTGCAGGAGAGACGCCGAAGTGGGAAAAGTGGCCCTAAGAGATAAACAGGTCCGTGCGCTGTGACAAGATAGTACAGATGCACACAGAGTAGTGTGTTAGCGACTGGGTAAAGGTTTTATCTGCCCTTGCGGTTTGTGTTTAGCTTAACCCAAATACACATATGTAGTCTTCAGGAAATCTGACTTTACTTTTACCATTTCTATATCGAGTGCGTGCATTTAAAATAAAGGTTATCTGAATACTGAGCGACTTCACTATATGTGAACTGAAAGAGTTATTTTCAGTAAAGCGATAAAAAAAAACACCGATGCACTCTGCGAGTCTATTCTCATACATTATTTGTAGTCCTACTGTTGTGACATTTGTACAGCGCCATGTCCTTTCTGTTAATGGCAAACACGGTCATTATCGGTGACGGTAAATTATGACGTTACACTTCAAAGCACAAATTCATTTCCAATACTTCATAATCAAAAACTAATTATTCAAAACCTCATCTGTCTTGGAACGACAGTTTGAAAGGAGGAGGCAAACAGATGGATTCAAAGGCGCCCCGAGTGCATGCGTGCGTGTGTGTATGCACATGTGTGCATATGTCTGTTTGTGTGTAATAGTTATTGAAACGCGTTGAGTGCAGTTATTGAGTCTTTTGTTGACGTCATGCTTCTCTTAAGGGATGGTGACCAATGGAAAAAAAGAAATCCCCTCCTCCTGCTGCCTTCAGGCCCCCACAGCCAACTGAGTGTTAAAAACTAAACAGATATGAAACCACATGTAAGGAAAAATGTGTCATTTTTTTCTAACAGTTTGTACACTTGGCAACCAAGTGTGTGTGTGTGTTTAGGTTAGAGTATCAAACTTTGGTGTGATAGATTACAGATTAAGGGTTTTGGTTTGTGCCTAACAGAAAGGAAATAGGGTTTTGACAGGGGGTAACATCTGTGGCTTCGGTTTCACCTTGGAGGAAAAACGGTCAATTAACATAACACATAAATAATATCCTGGGTGGCAGCAACCTTGGTTTAATAGTACAGATCACATATTCTACCAGAGAATTTGGGAATAAGAGGAGAACCTGAAGGCAACATACTTGGGAAGAGGAGGAGGAACTGAGCCAGAAGTTGACATGTGGAAATGACTCAAGTTTTTTTTTTTCCTCATCACATTCCAGGCATTGTTTCCTCCTCCTTACTGCCCAGGTCCTGGGCACCGAGGCCAAGGACTTTCCAGGGCTGGAGGAGAGTGAGTATGAATGAATGATGGATAAAAGGAAGCGGAAGGATGACTCTGATTTTCTTCTTTTTGCACGTGCAGAGTCACTTTGTCCTTCTCCAATTTGTCCTTCTCCAAATAAATAAATACAATGAAGCGGCATTGTTTCATCCTTTGTTGCCCCAGACCTTCTCTATGAGTGCCATGCTTGTCTGAGTAATTTGAAGAATATGAGCCTGTAAAATTACAAAAAATATTTTGGTATCGCAGTCACATGCGGCTCAAAAGTGTCTAAATGCAAGAAAAAAAAGAGACACTTCTATATTTTTTGGACAGCTTTTTATGTTGTAAGAAAAGAACATTTCATCAGAGTGGGAGCCGGGTTCAATGAGAGAGTGAGGCAGAGACAGGGAGATGTGAGTCAGGGTCGGCAAAAGAAAAGCGGTGAAGTTTGGACTGACTCATTGAAAGTAAGTGCACTGTCCCTGATAATAAAGCAGCAGAAAACTGACATGCAACTTTTTTCCCTATTATGGAACTAAGAGAAGCTGACAGACCACACAGGAGAACATCCATCATCGCTGTGAACCTCAGACACCATTTATCTTGCTACATTTCTGTCTCATACGTTTGCTCGTTATAATGTGTTATTCAAGTAAACCCTCCAGAAAAACTTCCTTTGAAATTTGAGGTGTTATCCATCCCCCGTTACTGTAAACCTCCTACTTCCAGACATAATGAGAATCTGCATCAGCAGATCAGAAACAGACCTTACAGAATGCGTCGGTTCAACTTTTTTTGGCACAAGACGACCGAGACCACAGCTGCAAAGAAGCTGCTCTGCAGCTGACCATAATAAAAGATCTTAATCTCCAATCTGGGAAATCAGCAGCCGAACATAAAAGTGATGCCAATGAACCGGTTTGATCATCTGAGCCCGTTTAAAGATAATGAGTAGTATTAGAAGTAAGGCAGTGCATACAAGCATTTCCATAAATGCATACCAGCTCGTGTAATTAAGCCAACACCAGCTTAGCTCAAGCCTGACTGATTGACAAAAGGTAGGCTCAATCTGACCATAATAGTGCATGTTATTATGGGAACAGAAGCCATTCAGGACACTGAGAGCGTCAAGTGCCAGTTCAGCACATGACGCCTGACTCATCCTCTCTCCTGTGAGTCACTCCCTCCTCCTTTTGGTCCAGGATCAGTGGCTCTCTGCTCCTCTCTCCTAATGTCAACCATTCTACCGCCTGGATACCGGCCAGCGATGCAGGCACTGCCCCGCTGAGGAAGAAGACTTTTTTTTATTTAATTGTTTTGTATTCCACCGGGTGTTTCTCTGTTAAGACAAAAGACTGGGTGTGATGACGGCGTGGCAAGAAGAGGGCAAAAAGAGACGTCACGAGGGACCGAAGTGCTGCTTATCTGTCCCAACAATTCTGTCATGTCCTAAAACAGAGGTTATCACACAAGGCAGACTGGCTGCTTGGAAGTAAGAGGGCAACATGTGAACCTCAAGGGAAAACGTGATAACAAGGCATCACAGGAGTCTGCAGTGTATTCCTTTTCCTTGTTGTTTTTACAGCTTTGGCCTAATATCAAAGAGAGAAAAAAAAAGCTGTAGTTAAGCTCATTATACAAATGAGCTTATGACCTACTGCACACACTGATGCCATGTACATGAAAGGTGAAAGGTGATCCTCGAAGCTAAAAAGTCAAGCAACTCTAATAACATATGAGATCTTAATGTTAACAGAGCTCTGTAAGATAAAGTTTCTCACCCGTAGTATTTGGCATTGCGAATCGGTTGATCATGTTTGTTGACGCTAACAGGCGTGAATGTACACGTGGGTCAACAGGGCTGAAGCTGAAGCCAAGTGAGGTGGGAATGTGGATGTTTCCCGAGTTATCTCTTTGGGGGGTTTTCAGCAAGGAGAGGACTGAAGAGAAGACCAAAGCTATACTGGAGAACTCATAAAGGAAGACCCTGCTGTTAAATGGATGGATAGGTAGACGGTAACTTTGGGGTACCATGAGTCTATTTATCTATCACCACCAGCAGCTCAAGCTTTTCACTTGACAACTGGGAAATCTCAGGGTTCAAATTTTGTAAACATTGTTTTATCTTGCGCGATCCTGAATTCTCCTCTAGCACTTGTAGAAACCTGCAATCAGCTGGGATCAGGTTATATTCCAGTTTGCAAATGTTATCTGGAAACAGAATCTGCTAAGCATCAGTACCATAACATGGTCACTGTGAACACGTTTATTCTAACATCACATTAGTCATAGTCAGGTTAATGTACAGATTGCTTATGTGCATAAACAACATAAGGTCTTTAACAGTAAATATTACCCCCAAAAGCTGGCGTTTGATCGGCTTCTGGGCTGTAAAATGTCAGACTTTCACAATGACCTGTTTCCAGAGGTCTCTTCACCAGTGCTGTATAGTGTACAGGAGCCGGGAGCTGGACTTTTGCAATGCAGTGGTCAGCAGCTCACTAGTTCACTGTATGAAATGACATACTGTCTCTGGGAACAGGACATCTGTTCGGAAAAATGTTGGCTGTGCTGCTATGATACATTATGAAGAGGAAGTGTCAGTTGTCACAAAAGGAAACGGGCATCAGTGAAAGGAAACAGGAAGGGCTCACAATGTAAAGTCAAAAGCTAATATAGCACTAACTTAGCAACTTTAGACTTCATATCCAGGCCAGCCTATCATCAGAGAACAGAAACACTTGCGTTCAATTTCTATAAAAATCGCAATATAGAAGTGTTTTACTAAAAAGGATTTATGGCACAGCCTTCTCCTGCGGCTTAATATGATTATGAGAGGGTAAATTCACAAACACGATACAGATGTGAGCCATTGCCCGTGAATGTGCTGCAGATTGCAATGTAATTGTATCTCTCTCTCTGCAAATTACAACAGATCTGCTCAGTTCGCTTCAGCAATCCAAATCTTTTTGACTTCACATATCAGCTGCAAGTAAATAGGCTTAGGTGCCAGCCAAGTAGATTATAGCAGATTAGCTTCTTGGTTTTATGTGTACAGTACACCTACTAAAATCTAGGCTTTTAGACAATGCCAAAGTCAAAGATCCAGAGTAATAAAACCAGCTGCTTTACCATCTACAGTCGTCTAAAGAATGAGTGTCTTCACATCTGACAGAGTCGGCGTTATGCAGCAGGTAAACAAAAAAATTATTCAGAACTCTGACTTGTTGTCTGTTTTCCACTTGCCCACTAATCATAATTTAAGGACAAAAAGAAGTTCTTTTTCTAAATACTGCATTTGTTATTTTAAAATCTAAAATCAAAAACTGAGAGACATATTCACTCCTTGATGGAGCACTCCAAGTGTGATCAGAGGCATCCTGCTTGCCTAATTATCCCACAGATGTGTCTACAACTTGATTAGTGTGCAACTGTAGCGAATTAATGGGTTGGATATAATTAAATAAGGCACAGAGTATTCCCAGAAGCACTCTGGCCTCAGTAATTATCAGGTCTGAGACAAAAACTCTACCGAACTGAACTCCAAGCAGAGTCTAGCTACATCCAGGCAGTGCTCTTTATCTGGATAATGAAGTCCCCAGCAGTAAAGCATGGTGGTGGCAGCATCACGTTATTGTGGCATTTCCCTGTTGTAACTTTCTGAAGAATGAATGCAGCCAAAAATGCAAACGCCCTTGAAAGAAGATGAACTGCTCTTGAACCTAGAGGGCAAAGGGAAGACAACAATGACTTGATATACCACAATGCCACAGTGGGTAAAGGATAGTGTT